AAGTGAATCTGTCTGTCTTTTAAATCTCCCTAAAGCAAAGGAGCAGAACTTCCCAAAAACATGAACACAGAGACCAGCCTGACCCTAGCTGTGTTAAAGAAGAGAGCACCACTCTCGGCCACAGGACAAACATAGGAAGAAAAGGTGCTGTGGGGTCAGCAGCTCAGCAAGCGTTCGGTGCACACACACGGGCACACACACGGAGCCGGCGCCTGTGCAGAGCTCGTCCTCCCCTCCCCCGGCACACACGCTGCCGCTTGTTAGGGAAAATGCTTCTGTTGTTTCAGTCAGATAATCGCCCCTTCCCTGGCAAGTCGCTGCACGCTCCCGTGCAAACATCCCGCAGCGCGTTTCAGCACAGCAGATGCAGAGCTCAAAGGCCGGCCCCACAGACCTGCTCTCCCTCCTTGCAAACGGGAAACAAAGGCCGCAGGACCCGGCGGGAGGCACCTCTGCCTTGGGGCCTGCCCGCGCGCGGACAGGGGGATTTTTGCTGTAGGCCTGGGGGCAGCCTGACGAGTCAGGCCAGGCACTGTGTGAGGGCAGCGGGATCAGGGATCGCTTAGGAAGCACCCTGTGATGGGCCCATGGCGAGGCCTGCTGCCCACCTTGCCACAGCGGTCAGAGCATGTGTGCTCCTAGCTGGGCTGCCTCACGTAAGAAGAGCCCAACCCGCGCCAGGGCTGATGAAGGGGGTTGCGTTATCGTGTCCGGTTGGGCCCTCTGGCTGGGGGCACGAGGGTTTGGAGAAACACCCCGGCTGTCGCCAGCGCTGCCCTGAGCACCAGGTCTCCATGGCTGCCTCCCCTGATGCGCAGGGCGGAGCTGGGGGCAGCGGGTGCCTGAGCCCGGGTGCCTCAAAGGGCGCGTGTCTAGGAGGCCATTTTGGGGTTGGAAGCTGGGCCCGCAGGCACGTGCTGAGGAGGCGCCCGCTCTGCTCCCCAGGGTAGGCAGCAGGTACAGCCACCGGCGGTTGGGCCCCTCTCACTGTTTCTTGTCAGTCCAGGGAGGCCTGTGGCGATTTCCATCACCCAGCCCAAACATACTGCTTCTCTTCAAGACACTTTGCATGCAGCTAACCCACAGCAGAACGTCTCGGGTTTATCAAATGGAGATCTTGGGAGGAACCAGGAAATGAAATCCCTACCCATGATTAGAGGGAGAGAAGAGCGCCCCTGCCAGAGAAGTGACGGAGCTCTGACACTCTCCGTGCTCTGGGAAAGGGCCCGTTGTAGCCGTCGGGGCGAGCTCCCAGCAGCGGGATACACCTGGGTGAAATGTTGACACCAGCTAATGGGGCTTTTGTTGTCTCCTTTGATTTACTGAGTGGTGTGAGAATGGAAGCGTGGGTTGGACAGCACACGGTGCAAAACCAGACATCACGCACAGCTCTGTGCTCCTGTCTTCCCTGAGCAACTCTCCTAGCCAAGCCAGTCCTCTTTGGGTGCAACCTCAGGTACCTCTGCAACCTGCCCGTTGCTGCAGGAGCAGGAGTCACTCATTGGGAAAAAAAGATCATAGCATTTTTCTTCCAATTCTGTCTAGGCTTCAGGTTGAAGAGGAGAACAGAGAAGGCAGAGCCAGTCAGTTTCCATCTACTTTTGCTCGCCACTGCTGGAGAATTAACAGCTGGACCTCAGAAGAAATTAACCAGTTCTCCTCTCCCTTCCTGGGTCACTGGCATAGTAACGAATGCAAATGTGCCCTAAAAGTCATTTAAATGGAAGGCAGAATCCATCTTAGAATCCTAGACAACTATAAACTGAGGATTTGGGGGTCCTTTTCTCCATAGCTAGAATGCCACTCCTGCTGATGCTGTGATTTAATTAGGAAAAATATTATTTCCTATTTAAACCATCTGGTACACTGAAAAAAAACAACTAAACTTTGAAGCAATCAAGCTCACATTAGGACTCATGTCCCCAAAAGTCTGTCTGTATTTTCCACCTGTATGTATTGGTCTAATATGTTGTAATGTTTCTCTGCTTCAGCCAGGGAGCAAAGGCCTCTCTGAGAACTGAAAATCAGTTCCCCAAAGCCCTGCTTTTAGCAAACAAGACTAGTACCACACTCTCTTGCTGTTGTGAAAAGGAAGACCCAGTGTTCCCAATCTGCTGGCAATCAGGTAGGGCAATGAGTGGCTTTTACACTTGCTCTGTATTTACATATGTTCTGTAAGGTGATGAGGTAATAACCACCTTTAGTTTATACCCAGCCATTCTGCAGATGCCGCCTGAATGTGACAATACCATGAGCACCAGCTTCTAATCCAGCATTTCAGCTGCAAGGTATAGCAACTTAAATAAGGCTTCTATGACTACCTAGAAGAGGAAAGAGAGTGCAAAAATGAGACCTGCCTTGTGGATGGTGTGATAGTCTCCTGCCTTGCTGAAGAACAGCATTTCCAGCTGTGAGCTAGCTGAGAGCTCACAGCTTGCTACGCTAGATGAGACCAAGCCCCAGAGTTCAGTGTCTCCAGGTTGCCAGATGCAGGCAAAAGAAACAAGGCACCTGTCAAGCTGTGAAAGGCTCCAAATGCAGGGAAATGCTGGCTCCTGCAGCAAGCAGCTGATTCCCTGAAGTCAGAGATTTGATCACTCATGTCTTGGTGCACCTAAATATAATACATGTATTGTTCTGAGCCCTGCCTAAACCCCACTGATATCCAGCCACCAATACCTGATTTTCTTGCCTTCCATAGCTGCAAGAAATGCAGCTGCATGAAGGAACTTTTCCTTTAATTATTCTCAAATACACCTCCCACTGCTGTTACTGACTGATCACCTCATCTCTTCTGATGAGACATCTTGAAAGAACCTGGTTTGCAGTTTCACGCTACTGTTACTTCTTCTGCTACCACCTTTGTAATCTTGAAACTTCTTCAAGTTCTCCTGCAAATCATCTTACCAAACCAGCAGGTACATTTGGAAAAAAAATAGACAGGTTGGGTACAAGTATATGGTTGGATTTGTGTCTCATTTAGTCCGAGCTGTTTCTAAAAAGCCATGATCAACTTGAAATCCAAGTCATTTTCCAAGCAGAACTAAGATTTGCTTCGTGTTTTAGCTCATCCCAAGGCATTTGTAAAGTTGGCCCCAGCAGCTCCTCTTCCAGTGCTGTCAGGAGAGCACCCATCACAAGCATTTGTAGCCCAAGATGAAGACCAAAAGCTAATGGATCAGTAACCAACCCCAGCACTCTCTCAAGGCAACCTCAGGCAAGTAATTTAATCTCCCTCTGATGAACCAGCTTGTGCAAATAACTCTACTGTATTGCTTTACCTCCTTGGGGTGTTACTGGGATAAGCCCATGAATGCTTAGGAGATGCTCAGAGATGTTAGGAGGCAGAAGAATACAGATTGGAATACAAAGGAAAAGGCTCTTGTCACACTTGTCTCTGATGGCAATAAGGTGAATTCTGATGAATAAACTAAATTGTTCTCACTCAGCTTCACTGACAACACGAAATGGTCCAATATCACAGGTCAGCTCCTACACATCATTTTGGACTTGCACCATGAAATCATATGGATTTTCCCATAGACTGGTGTCCTGTGGTTTAATTCTCCAGTGTCCAATCTGAGGCAAATTCCAGCCAAAGCTCTGTTTGTGGCTTGGCTGTTCATAACCTGTCTGTCCAGGGGATTTGCTGGTGACTAGCAAGTTGTGAGTCTGCATCAAACACTCTTCAAACACATTAAAGAGTGTCCTCTTCTTTAATGAGAGCACTAATGATGTCTGTGTCTCTCTGCTACTTGCACCTGAGTTCACTTCTACCATTGTCCTCTGTGTGGAGCCTAAAAAGAAGCAGTTAGGTACATCAGGCTGTTTGAAACTGTCCATTTTCCACAGACTCTATTTGGCTTTTCCTGCACAGTCCCTTCTGGCTCCACAGACTTTTCTTAAAACTGTACAGAAAACTTTCTGGCCATTTCCTTTGTAAAAACATCACAAAAAAAATCATATAAAACCAAACTGTGATGTCCTGTGATCTACTGCCACATGTATCTGTTCTCTTCACCACTGCAGTCTGAAGAGGGTAAATTGGGATTTCCTGAGGGTGAGAGGAGAAAGGAGGAGGGAAGGGGACTGGGACTAAAAGAGTTGCAGCTACCCAAGGATGGTCTGTGCTCCAGGTGATGCGACAAGGAGCATCCAGAGCAGGGTCCCTTCTCCTGCAACCAGCAGGGGAACATTCCTACAGCTGGGATGCGATAGCCCCAACTCTCCTGCTCTTGCCTTGCAAAGAAACCCCAAGCTCTGGTACAACACTCAGTCTGGCTGCGCTGCCATCTCTCCTTGCTGTTTCCCTCTCTTTTCTGTAATTCCTGCCCTTTCAGGACAGAGACCTCTTTTCATCCTCTGCCTGCACAGCACTGAGCACCTTAGGGCTTGTTGGCAGCAATCGGGGCTTCTGGGGGCTCCCCCAATGCAAACAACAACAACGTTCAAAGTGCCTCTCTGCACGCAGCTGCTCTGAGGGCAGCTTCAGGTTTCCCCCACCTCCTTCTCCCTATCCCTCCTTGCAACACCCACCCTGGCAGCCAGATAAAAACAATCTTTGGGTTTTTCAGGTGTGCTGGAGGGATTTACCTATCCCCCCCACCCCCTCCCCTTGCAGTTGAGGTCCTGGATTGCATGGCAATGCTGGGTAATTTAACAGTAAAAAGCTCTGCAATTATTTGGCTCTAAGGTTTGGGTCCTTGCCCAGCTCTGACATACACACACACACACTCACAGGTTCACTTCTCCGGAGAGAGAGCGATGCCTCTCCTCTTCCTCCTCCTCCGTGCAGTCACGGAAGGGCTGGCTCTTCGGCAAGGGAGTTCCACCTCCTGCAACTTTCTCCCTCGCTGCTCTCAACCTGTACTGCTGGAGTTTCAGACAGCAAAATCGCTCCTTGCAGGAATTTCTCCAAGCCTCTTCCTTCGATTTGCAGGCGCCATGGATCCGCAGCAGTCAGCAAGGTGCTGCTGCGGGAGAGGATTTTCAGCCGCGAGGGCAGAGAGGCAGTAAACTTCAGGAGAGGTCTCTCTCCTGTTGCAACAGGTAAGGCACGCTGCTCGCCGGTGTGGGAAGCAAAATGACTCAGGGAGAAGTCTGTGCTGCGTGGATGGAGAAGGGCATGGAGGATGGAGAGGTTTCTCTATGAAACTGCTTTGCATGTGAGTAGCTTTTGCTGAAAGAAGCTCCAGCCTTAAGATCAGGCTTTGGGATGCAAAAGGAAATCCTTTCATCTTCTCCTCCTTTCTAGCAGCCGTAGTGAGGGGGGGTATGGACGGAGCCCAGGGAAGGTTCAGCGGTGTTGGCACAAAGTTTGTACCTGGTCTTAGCTAGACACTCCGGGAAACTTTAGCAAGCGGCAGCCCGTGCAGGCAGGTGGGCTCTGCCTCAAGCAAGGCAGGCAAGGAGGGACTGAGCAGAGAAACGCTCCAGGTGTCTGCAAGGGGCAGGTTTCCCGCAGGAGCTTGTGCTGGAGCGAATGGATGTGCTGCTGCAGGAGCAGCGATGGCGTCTGGCTGCAGCCTCTTTTGTGCACTGTGTTCAACTTCACCGAGCGAGGCAAAGTTGGACAACTCAAGCGCTTTCTCCCCAGTTTCAGCTCCAACGAGGCGGTTCCTTTAGTGCAGACGAGGGGCTGGTATTTCACCATGTGTGCAGCAAGCCTAGAGCTCCTTGCTCTCCCTGGACCATGGGAAGCAGAGCCTGGGAGCTGCAGTGAGAGCTCAGCGGCAGCCGGGCCGCCGCAGCTGCCCCTTCTTTGCATGGCAGCGCGCTGGTGCCGATCTGTGCTTGTTTGCATTGGTGCACACCTGATTCTTCATTAACAGGAGCCTGGTGGCAAACAAAAATGAAATCCCCCACTAAATCCAACTCTCAGTCTAGAGTGCACAGGAATTATTTCCCCTGTATATATATGTGGTATCTAGAAAAGAAGCAAAAAGACAGCAAAGGCGGCCTGGGCACTTGGAGCAAAGTGGGCCCTTCCAAACAGCAGTTATCAGATAACCAACCTCCTGGGGGAATTAGAGGCGGACGAGGTGGAGTGCAGAGCTCCAGAGGGGCAAAGATCAGCTGTCAGACAAGGGTAGCTTTGGAGAAAGCTCTTTAGCAACTGGCTCTCACTCAGGTTTGCTGCTTGCAGAGGGCTGACAGTGTGCAGGATGCAGGGAAGCCCCTGCCGTTCGGTGGACGGAGGTGGGCAGGAGGCAGCTTGCGTGCAGGCTGGGTGCAGCACGTGGGTTCCCACCCCTCCAGGCCAGAGGAGCGCCGAGCGCCCCGGACACGGGCAGCAGGACTGGCCCACGCATGGGGAGCCCTCTCCATTCCCTGCCGTGTGGGCACGGGAGGTGGAAGGAGCTGCCAGGATGCACAGAGCTCCAGGCTGTCAGCCGGAGCGACCGGGAGGTTATCGGAGCCTCAGGATGGAGAGCAAACAGTCAATATCGGGCTCCTGGGGAAGGCTGGGCTGCATCGGCATTCGGAGAGGCAAAGTCACTGAGCTTGGTATTGTGCTCCCTTATCATCTCCTAATATGCAGCGCACCTCACCTTATCTGGAACAGTTCAGGGACATCCGCCTGTCTGATAAGTGTTGGGGTTCTCAGGGCACTGACTAGGCAAGAGGTTCCTAGCCCAGGCACAGGGGTTTATTCACTCCGATTCTCTGCCATCTGCTTGTTGTGCTCTAACATGCTCTGTGACATTATAAAAGAAAAAAAGAAAAAGAAAAAAAAAAAAAAAAAAAAGAGCCCGACTGCTCTGCCTGCGGAGGGCAGAGCACACAGCAGCACCTAGTCTTCTCCTGAGCCTTTCCCATTAGCTACAGCACGTTTAAAACCCGAACGCTCACAGAAACCGGTGTGTCTCCTGGCCCTCCAAACAAACAAGCACCATTCACATACGAAGGGAGAGTTCAAAGGAATGTAACACCTGGAATCAAACATCTGTGAGAAGCTAATGCATTTTGCATCCTACGCTTCTGCCAACTGCTTCAAGGCAAGTCCTACAGGATTGTTCCAAGTACCTCCATGCTACCGAAATGGCATTGCCTGCTCCGTGCATCTCTCTTTTTTGCCACGTGTGGTATATGCGAGTACGGTTCTAGCACTGAGATTTTTTCAGTATCATGCACAAGCATAAGAGGATTAAATACCCTCAGCCTTTTATTTTTTTTTAACTGAGTTGGCAGCAATGATGCTCCATTGTCTATAAGAAGCTGATTTGCTGAGCATGCAATTTTTCTCTCAACCACAGTTTTTCCTTGGCAATGGGGCAGGTGCTGCTTTATTAGCAAAGAAACAGAAACTTTCTTTCCTAATTCTTGGAAGAAGGAGCTCCAGGGAGGGGCAGGCTGCAAGGGTTGTTAGGAAGGTTTATAGCTCAGAAATGAACAAGCAGCATGTTTGAAGCAAACCAAAGGAAGTATTTTTCTGTTTTTTCACGGAGCACGTAATTAAATTCCGGAGCGTATTGCCATAGGATATTGCAGAGGCCAGAAGCATGCCTGCCTTCAGACAACATTTTGATATGTGTGGTGTGGGTAGCTGCATTGGAGGTTATTTGATGCAAGAGCCCAAGTATGACCGCTGCTCCAGCAGTGCCTTACACCGACGGTGCAAGGGAGGGCAGGGTGGGAAAGCACTGCGTTACACCGTGCTCATCACTAAGCAATCAGAACTGGCCATCTGGGGAGAGAGATGATACAGAGCTGACCGAGCACGGCTATTTAGATATTCTGATGCTGTGGGAATATTTTGGACCGATCTCTGGTTGTACTTTCGCTAGATACTGTGACTCAGTTAACCTGGGATACACTGTTTATGCTCTGAATTGACAGGATGGCACCAGTTGCAGTACCTGTGAACGCAGCACAGCGTTTGATACCAGTACAATAGTGCGAGCAGCATCTGTGCACATCTGCCTGCTCTGCAGAGATGGTGCAGAAAAATATTCCCAGCACACAGAGCAGGGTGAGAGGCAGCGCTGTGGGCTGGTATTGAAACAAGAGCCGACAAGGACACGCTGTGGCAATGAGACCAGCCTAGGCAAACACGCCTGTCTCGGGGGTTAATCTTTCCTCTGCTGAGGCTGTGAGCTCTCCAGGCCGGGGCTGTCCTTGTCCTGGCTGGAATGACACCTGGTGCAATGGGACTGACTGCTGTGGGTGCAGAAATGAGCAGAAAAGGCAGTGGGCAGCAGCAGCCAGGTTTCTGGAAGGTAACCAGGACGGGGAGCTGAAGATTTTCCTTCATTCCTTAAACGTCTGCAGCAGGGAATTTCTGTGGCATAGCTGCCTGCAACCTGGCTCGTCATCCTTTTACAAATAAGGATGATGCCCAGATCAGCTCTGTCCTCAGTGCCCTCTCGCTGCCTCCGAACGTGCAAGAGGGACTGGCAGGGACAGGCTGCTCAAGGCAGGCAGGTGGCAACAGCGTCCAAGATGCTGCAGGCTGAGAGGAAGGCCGGAGAGGAAGACTCAGCTTCAGGGAGCAGAAGGGAAAGACCAGCAGGGTGCTGGGAAGGGGCCTGAGCAGATCTTTGTGTCCATGCAGGGATGCATCTGTGAGTGAACGTGAATTGCCCGGTAGAGAGGAAAAGGCAGAGAGGTGGCCACGGTGGCCGGTGCTGTGCTGCAACATGTATTTTTCTTGTCCTGCCGTGCACCAGGGCTCCCCTCCTGTGTCTGGGGCTGCATGTGGTCCCTTGCCTGTCTCTGCAGACAAAACCCCAACTTCTTGTGACAAGAGGTTCTTAGAGTCCCCCCCAACTGTTTTTACCTATCATAGGAGAATTTGCATGTTCCCCTCAGGGAATGGTGAAAAAGGCATCAGAGGACTACCAGCACACAAGTGATTTTGTCTGTGCCCGTGCTGCAAACATCCAGATTGAGTCAAGGAGCAGATGAGGTCTCACCAGGTCAGACATCTCAGGTCAGAGCTGTGGCTATCTTAGGGCCAGAGTAGGAGTCGCATCCAGGTCAGAGTCACTTTACTTCTTCAGTTAAATTTGTTTTGCCTAAATCTGCACCTTGCTGCAGAGATGAGGGGACCTCAGCTCCAACAGGCCTGGGAGAAACTGAGTCTGTCCCTCTTGCTGGAGAATTGTGGCAGGTTGTAGGGGCCACCAGCTCAGCCTGAAAGGGGGATCAGAAGGGCCCCTGGACCCAGGAGCAGACCTGCCAACAGCCCCAGGGCTGCAACTGGGTTGTAACCACCATCACCCATGAGGAACCCCATAGAGGAAGGAGGAACCCGCAGACTCCAACCCAGTGACAGCAATCCCAGGAAAGCTAGCAATTGTCCTGCTCTCAGACAGGGTGGCTGCAAGGCTCCCTCATCTCCCAGGCCTTCTGCAGTGATTCCAGATCCTCATCTGTGGGTTTCACAGGGCCCCAGAGCTGTGCTATTAAGTCTTACTTTGGAGCGATGTCGCAATGTCAACAGAGATAAAGATCACTGACCCTTATTCCTCTATGGGGAGTTCAAGTCTGTTCAAGTTCTGCACCTCACAGGCGAGCTCCTGGAGGCTTATAAGGACAACGATAGGCAAACCTCAGCTATCTAACATACCTAAACTAGGCATTGCTTAGTTTAGCATGGTGTTGACAGCAACACAAAATCAGGCTCTTCCTGAGTTCCTCACAGAGCATGGAGCAGAAATGCCTTCGGCCTCATGAGCAAGGTGTTGCCCTGCTGAAGGACAGAGGATGTCTTAGAGGCATCTGATACAGCAGCAAATAGGGGAGAGCAGCAGGACATGTTCAGAGCAGTCAGCATGGGGTGATATGTGAAATGTCCAAGGAGGAAAGAGGTGAGAGCTGGAGGTGAGCAGCTGGCTAGGGAAGGCCATAGTGAGATATTATAGAAGAAAATGTCCCTAGAGCCAACCTGGGTGGGAAGGTGCAACTAGGGCTGAAGAACCAGCACAGCTGTGATGACAGGGGTGACAAGGGCTTTCAGCCATACGTGGGGGAGAAGCAGTTGGATATCAGGGTAATGAAATGCTTCCTATCCACCCCTTCAGTGTTCAAGGCCAAGCTGAGCTTGT